CATGTATATACTTATACCCTGCTTTTGTCCCCCCCCCCCCCGAGACCCAACAGAGCTTTTTCTTTTGCCGTTAAGTCACAGTCAACTTACGGCAACCTGTGGTGGGGTTTTCAGGGCAAGAGGCGTTCACAGGTGGTTTGCCATTGCCTGTCTCTGCATAGCGCCCCTGGTCTTCCTTGGAGGAATGCCATTCACATACTAACCAGGGTCAATCCCGCTTAGCTTCCAAGAGCTGATGACACTGGGTTACCCTTTTGTTGGGTATTACAAGTTCAAAACACTCAGGGTTAAATGTTTGTTTATGTTACTCACAGGAAGTCACATGTTTTTCATGTAACCAATGTTCTTTAGATGTAGGAAGCCCGGGAATTTTCTCCCTGATCTAGGAATTTGATGGGGACTAAAGTGTCAAGGTGTATTACCATTTTATGGCTTCTCTTCCCATCTTTAGTGTTCTAAAGAAGAAGAAGAGCAGCCATAATCTCCTCTTCTAGTTTTGTCTTTGTAGAGTAAGGATGTAGCTGATTATGCTCTGTTGTTATTTTTATCCCAGTTACCCTTCCCATGCTAGAATTTAGTAAAAACTAAAAAGAGTAAGAATTTAGTAAAAAAAACCAAAAAGAGCCAGTTTGGTGTAGTGGTTAAGTGCGCAGACCCTAATCTGGGAGAACCAGGTTTGAGTCCCTACTCCTCCACTTGCACCTGCTGATGTGACCTTGGGTCAGTCACAAGCTCTGGCACAGCTGTCCTTGAAAAAGAGCAGTTTGTGTCAGAGTTCTCTCAGCCACACCCACCCCACAGGGTGTCTGTTGTGGGGAGGGGAAGGGAAAGGAGTTTGTAAGCTGCTCTGAGACTCCAAGTGAAGGGCGGGGTATAAATCCAATCTCCTCCTCCTCCTCCTCCTCCTTCTTCTGTTTTAATCACACATGGACTCTCACTCTGGCTCTGCTGGACTATCTTATCTCTGCTAAATACCATTTTTTCAATATCTCACTATCACCCAACACCTTTGCTATCCAGGTCAGGGCCATGCAGTTAACAACATCATTTCCTCCCCCTCCGTTGTATCCTCAGAACAGCCACCCTAGGCTGAGAGATTGAGTAGCCCCAGATCACCGAGTGCTGTGGTTAAGAGCGGCGGAGTCTAATCTGGATAACCAAGTTTGATTCCCCATTCCTCCACATGCAGCCAGCTGGGAGACCCTCGGTCAGTCCCAGTTCTATCAGAGCTGTTCTCTGAAGAGCAGCTCTCTCAGCCGCACCTACCTCACAGGGTGTCTGTTGTGGGGAGAGGAGGGAAAGGAGATGGTAAGCTGCTTTGAGACTCTGAGTGAAGGGTGGAGCATGAATCCAACCCCTTCCTTCCTTCTTCTTTCTATGGGCAGAGAGGGAACTCAAACCTGGGTTTCCCAGATCCAAGTCCAACCACGACACCACTGTGGTCATTTTGAAGCCATTTGGTTTGCTTTTAAGGCCCATTCACACATTATTTGTCAACAGAGTCACATAACTACCATGAGGGGATCTTACCATGTGATGTTTGCATAAAGGGTCTGCTTGAATGAGGAGTGAGAGCTGGTATTTAGCATGCCAGAACAACCCATGGAAACCGCCAGTTTGCTCTGGTGTAGCGAGTGCCTGCTGTCTGCACACATGGGTGCAATGACAACATAAGTATTTGCTGTGAGTATTTAATATAATGTGCATTGATGTCACTGCCTCTAAATGTATTGTGATATGAACCTATAAATTACGGCCCTCAAATGGTAGCGGCTGAGGAAAAAACGCTCCTGAATGCATTCACACAGGGCTACAATTTGCAGACTGTCATGTGGGCCTTTGCAAAATGTGAAGATCATGTATATTGCTGCCAGCCACAAACAGAAATGTGCAGTACCAATGTGGAGAATCACACACAGTGCAGAAGACCCCTGTGATAAGGGGTGACACACATTATAGCCCCCTTATGGTAAAAAATGTCATGCATTTTTCAACAGCTTCTGCATCATGGCTGTAATCTATAAATCAGCTCTCGGTTATTCATGCAGGGTTTTGTGCCTGTTTCCCTTTAGGCCCGGTTATTCTTGTAGGGTTTTGTGCCTGTTTCCCTTTAGGCCCAGTGCTGCAAAACCTGAGAACTTCAAGCAGCTTCATCATCCATTATATTACACTTGTGCAAAATACACTCACAGCTGCTGGATGACTTTGGACAAGCCATAGTTCTGTTAGAGCTGTTTTTTTCAAGGACAGTTCAGGAAAGAGTTCTCTCAGCCCCACCGACCTTACAGGGTGTCTGTTTTGGTGAGGGGAAGAGAAAGGAGTTTGTAAGCTGCTCTGAGACTCAGAGTGAAGGGCGGGGTATAAATCCAATCTCCTCCCCTCCACCAAAATATATGAAAAGATATTAGCTGCCTGTTTATTTTCCAGTGTCATTCACCTGATGACTGATGGCGGAGAAGGAAAGGAGCTTTATTATGTGTCTGTCCTGCTACCAAACTCAGTATGGGGGGTGGATTTTGTATTTTTTCATTTTTGTATGCCTGTGTGTGTCAGTTTCCAGATGTGAAACTGACAAGGCCAGGGAAGTAGTCTAGGACTGCACGGCATCCAACAACAGGTGGACCTCACCAGATTGGATGTTCCTCCATACAAACAAGAAAATTTATAGACAGAACAGAATGTGAGCGAGAAGGTTGGAGCAGAAGCCTTTCCTCTGACGTCTAGTTTTGTCCATGGAGGAAACTTTTCCTAGGGAGTCATGCATCTGAGCCCCTCCCGTTGTTTCAAGTGGTACAGCCCAGACTACGTCTCCCAACCTATCAAGTTTTATTTATTTACTTGATTTATATCTCAACTTTCACCTCAATGGAGACCCAAAGCAGCTTACATCATTCTTGTCTCCTCCGTTTTACCCTCACAAGAACCTTACGAGGTAGGTTAGGCTGAGAATGTGTGACTGGCCCAAGGACAAGCTTCCATGGCGTCAGTGGGGGGACTTGAATCCGGATTTCCCAGATCCTGTTCTGACGCTTGAACCGCTGCACCATGCTGGCTGGCTTTACCCTCCTGGTTGGCTGAATGGGAGTATTCCATCCAGGGAGCCCCACCTGCATGCTGAAATGGTACAGCCCAGATAACTGTTGATCACATCCTCAATAAGAACTAGGCATGCTTTGTGTCCCAAAGAGCAGCAAATTAGGGATGGCCAAAGCTCTGCCATTGGGACAGCAAGAGGACGGGGCCCGCATGGAGCCTTGACCACTGAAAGGAGGGACTGAAGGTAAGCAGGCGGAACTAGTTCACTGGCCAGAAATGATGCAATGCGCCAGGTTCAGTCCCTGGGCTGAGATCAGAAAACGAACACGTGTGTTTTAAACGGTGGCAGCACTCTGAGCAAGCTGGCGCAGCAGCCTTGCCAGGACAGCCAACTGTGGAGAAAGGATGCTTGGCTATTCTGCACACATGGGGTTGTCCACTTTGGTTTGGGGAATTCCTGGAAATTTGAAATGGAGCCTGGGGAGGGCAGGGACCTTGGTGGGATTTAATAGTGCAACAGAGCCTGCCCTCAA